AGGAATGAAAGTGAAGTGAACTTAAAAATTAGTATATTGGGTCCAGCGCTTTGGCATAGTCGGTAAAGCCGCTGCCTGCAGTGCTGGCTTCCCATATGGCCACTAGTTCAAATCCTGGCTGCTCCACTCTGATCCAGCTCTCTGCTATGGCCCGGGAGGGCAGTAGAAGATGGCGCAAGTCCTTGGGCTGCTGGACCTGTGTAGCAGACCCAGAGAAAGCTCCTTGCTCCTGGCTTCAGATTGGCCCAGCTCCTGCCGTTGCAGCCATTTAGAGAGTGAACCAGCAAATGAAAGACCTTTTTCTCTCTCTCTTCTTCTCTGTAACTCTACCTTTCAAATAAATAAAATAATAAATAAATAGATAATTAAATTTGCAGGGTCAAATGTGCCTTCCAGGTGCTTTGTAGTAGTTTATAAAAAAAAATCAGCATATTGTGTCTTGAGTACTAATAATGATATATCCTTACAAACAAAGATGAAGTTCAAAATACTTACAGGTAAGATTATCACATAATTGAGAAGCCAACATTTTCTCCAATATTTTGACATCAAAATAGTACAGAATTTTCAAATTACTATTGCAAAACCATATTTATTATATCACATTACCTCGTAAAAACAAGTATGGTCAACTTATTTACGAGTCATCCACGTTCCTTCAAAATGAGTATGCTTTAGATTTGTTTGAGCCTAAAACACCTAAAACCACTTGTCATGGAGTTCTAGAGGAAGACATTTGTACTTTGACAAGGGTTTGAATGGGATTTATGATGGAGGTGCAATACTGCATTACAGATATCACTTAATAGGCCTTTTGTTTACCTACAATCATTTAGCAAGATCTGTGTTTCAAATCCTATATGGCATTTTCTTACATTTCTAGAGATTGTAAAACTAGCAAAGGAAAGTCTCTTGCCTGAAGCATTTTATCTGATCTAACTTATTTGATCACAGAAGTTCCACTGTAAAGTAAGCTGCCAATTTATTCATTCCATGAACGTTCTCTACCTGCTGAGCCTTATAGTCTTTTTATTTAAATATTTATTGTAATTTTTTGAAAAAGTTACAGAGAGAGTTAGAGACAGCAACAGAGAGAGAGAGATGTCTTTCAGCCGCTGGTTCACTCCCCAATTGGCCACAATGGCTGGAGCTGAGCCAATCCAAAGCCAGGAGCAAGGAGCTTCTTCCAGGTTTCCCATGTGGGTACAGGGCCCAAGGACCTGGGCCATCTTCTACTGCTTTCTCAGGCCATAGTAGAGAACTGGATCAGAAATGGAGCAGCTGGGACTCCAACCAGCACCCATATGGGATGGGCAGGCTGGGGCTTTAACCCACTGTGCCACAGCGCCAGCCCCTGTACCTGTGGTCTTGATTAGAGCAACACATCCGCTTTCTTGGACATAGCTTCACTTAGAAACCTTAGTTCTCTTATTAACTCAATATGTGTTCTGTATTTTGAGTGCCACTTTTTAATGGTGACTACATACTCTGGGTTTCCATGAGAATTAAGTCAACTTAGGTGGTTAAAATTACTTTTTGAAACAAAGCAAATATACATGAAGCAGTAAAAAAAAAAGTTACAGAAGCTATCATCTTCTTATTATTCAAAAACAAATAAGTTATCATATTCCCCAGAATTATCTTAATTAGTCAGGTAGTAAGCATTATATGTACCCTAAATAGTTTTTAGCCAAGTTTTTTATTGTGATGTTTTCCAAAGTACAATGATCCACTAATAAAAATGTCTAAGATTACTCATTCAAAAGTTCTATTTCTGGAGGGATAGTACCACAGTGGCAGCAATGATTTTGAAATTATGGTCCGTAGGGTTGTTTTCCATCTTGAAGGCTGTTAAATGAAACGAAATTGGTTTGAGTTATAAATGAAACAAAGCAGTGTCATTTGTGAGAGCATAAAACTCAAAACCAGCCAGTCAGCGGGAAATCAGGTTGGGAAATTACATAGCCACATAGGAACACAAGTGTGTACATTGTCCTTTGCTCACAGGCTACTTTTCCTTTAAAACATTTTTAATAAATATTTTTTGAACTGATTTCTGTTCATATTTTCACTCTCTTTTTTGTTTCCTAATGTTGTCATATTTGACAGAGAAAACATGGAGCTGACTGTGCATGTTGGTAGGGTTATAGCCCTTTGGAGATGGGAATGGAGTATTAAGCCCTTATCGTTTAAGTGGGGGAATGCAGCGGGCCATTCTAGGCCTGCACGGTGCTGAGCACCATCGGAGCCATGTGTTCTCTGGGAAATTCCCTCTCCTTGTCTCGGATGGAATGGGCAAATGTTTCAAGTTCACAAACTGTGGACCCTGTTCCACCACTCTCCAGTTTGAAATGTTGAGCTAGGGACTTTCCCTTTGTGGGGTTACACTTTCCTCCATAAAATGGGGACAATAATATTTACCTTAGAGGTCTTGCTAAGACAAATTGAGGAGATATTTATTTATTAAATTTTTATGAATATAAAGAGAACAGATTTCATGTATTTCAAAGATGCATTCCAAATAGATAACTGAACTTCCCTCCTCCCCTCACTCCCTCCCTCAAGTTCCCTCCTTATTTTTCCTCTTTTGTTCTTCAATTTTCACAAAAACTTGATTTAAGTTTACTTTATAATCACAGGCTTAGTGCACACTAACCCTAATATTCAACAGATAAAAAGTAGAAAGACCACTGTTCCACAGGAGTATAGACAAGGGCTGTAGATAATAATCAAATCATAAGATTATTTTAGTACTTATAAGAATCCACAGCTGCTGAGTTAAAAATACTCAAAGTGTTTTCCACAGAGTACTCACTCAACTTAAGATGCTGATCTAAGCATATATTTATACTCATTTCACTGTTTAATGCTCAGAATAATCTTACAACGTAGACAGTATCTAAAGTCCATCTTAATGATTCAGAATGTGAGAAACAGATGGTGTTGAATTTTTAAGTTTTAAAACTACTACATTGATGAACTTGAAACATAAGAAGCCACTATCTTATCCCTTGTTCTACATAACCACCAGTACTGGCCAAGTTTATTGTCTTTTTTTCTTACAGGGAAGTACGGTTTGTTAGGTTCTCTTGGCATCCAATGCTAGACTCTTCTTTGTGCATAGAAGATATGAGAGCTAGAGCTAAATATGTTGTGAAAAAAAAAATGTGGGAGAACCAGATACCCAGAAGGCTCCCTTTACCCTTTATGTAAAGAAACAAAAAGGGAATATATTTCGTATTAAAATGTGAATGACTAGGTAATGATCTTTAAATTGAAGAAGTATGTATCTTTTCAGCAAACAAACAAACAAAAAAACTTGGGGCTTTTAATATCATTTTGAGATAATATATATGTTACTGTAAAATAAAAATTTTAAAATACCCAAAAATAAACAAAATTGGATGAAATAAAATGTAGATAACAGCAGGATTTAAATAGTTCATTTGTATCCTCTAATGAACCTATGCACGCATTGTCCAGTGAAGAGAATCCTGGGCAGAAGTAGGAAACTGGAAGACCTCAGACAATGAAATGACCTGCCAAAAGCATTTAGTCTTATAAAGAGGATTTCACAATCATCTAAACATTGGGCAATCACAGAAAATTTGGATTTCGGCCTCTTCCTGGAACACAGGCAGACCTGGTGGTACTGGTTTGCATTGCCACATGATAATCATTGACAGAAGTTGAACACCAGCTGGTCTCATTAGGCAAGCCCTGTGCTCTGGTTTCCCAAGGCCTCCACCATCCTCATTGTCTCTGCAGACTCACCCCCTTGTTTCCTTTGTCTGCTTGTCATCCGTGGACATTTGAGTTTGGAACCTCTGAATTAGCGAAACACAGTTCCCATCCCATTACCGTTACCATTCTGCCTGATTGGTAATCAGGGGTGTTTGAGCAATTTTGTGTGAATGATTTTTTCAATTTGAAATTGAGCACATCATTCTTTCAGTAAGACTTTCTGGCATGCTTACTGTCTGCTGACTTCTCAATCAGTTTGCTTTTTATTTATTTTTTACTTTTTTTTTTTTTTTCAGTTACTAAGAGGTTGCAATGTAAAACAAAGGAATTGAAATGAGATTCTTCCAAATCCTTAGAGAGACAGATGTGGTAGAAATTGATAGCTTATCCTTAGTCTTCCTTGGTATAGTTACTACCTTATCGTGCTATTAGTATGAAATTACTTTTCAAAAAAAGATTTATTTATTTGTTTGTAAGTCAAAGTGAGAGATAGGGACAGAGAGAAACAGAGAGAAAGATCTTCCATCTGTGGTTCAGTCCTCAAACGGCAGTAACAATTGGTCTGGGCTGGGTTGACGCGAGGAGCCAGGAGCTTCTTCTGGGTTTCCCATGGGGGTGCAGGGGCCCAAGCATTTGGGCCATCCCTAGGTGCTTTTGCAGGCACATTAGCATTCAGCTGGACTGAAGGTGGAGCAACCAGGACACGAACCACAACGTATATGGGATTCCAGCATTCCAGGCAGCGGCTTTACTCACTGTGCCACAATGCTGGCCCAGAAATTATGTTTTTAATGATTTTTTTATATATAGTTCTGTAAGACAAATTTCCATTTAAACACTTGTGTGGAATATTAACTGGTTTACCACCTTTAATTTTTGTAGAGCAATTGATACTTCACAGTTGAATGATGATATAGAGAAGTTAAACTCTGTAATGTAAACTGATGAATATTGGGTTTACCCACAAGATCTTCATTTTAAAGACCATATACTTTGATATAAACAATATGTTCCCTTCTTGCTTGTAAATTAAAAAGCAGAAAAAGATGCTTTTCCTTAGAGATTGCTTGACTGCAAAATCATGCTGATGAAGAGTTCCAGTGCATTAAACAAGTGAGGTGCTTTGTTAATAGATGGAGAGGCACAGGTAATTAACTGTGAAGTCGTTAAGGCCTTTCTGTGATGTGACAGTTGTGTTTACCTATAATAGATTAATGAACATGTCAAATGTTTCTTTCTCCCTCTTGTTATTTCAGATCATCCTTGAGTGGATTTTGACAGAAGATGTTTCAACAGTTTTGTCTCTGGAAACGTTTGGCTTCAGCGTTCATTCTTGGCTGTCTCTTCCCAATCTGTGTGGGCCAGTATGATGATGGTAAGGCTGGTTTAGTTTGACCTTTAGAGCTAGCCCAGAGTTTCTGTTATTGAATTGAAAATGAAGCACACTACAGGAATGAATAATGCTAATTTGTATTTCTTGTTTAAAGGTTAGTAGTTCTGCACGGTGGTTTAACTTAACTACAGCAAGCTTACAAAAGTGATAGTAGGTGTACTTTGTTTCTCAGTAACGATCACAGTATAGTCAAAGATCTGAGGCAAGACTTCCGTTTGAACTCTCTCACTAAGAGAACGCTTAGAAGCTTTGAAAAATATTAAATTCTGTTTAATAACTCTTGAATAAATAAAAACATTTAAAATAAAGTCACCAGGGGTTGTCATTTTGGCACAGTGAGTTTAGCAGCTTCTTGTGATACCTGAATTCTTAGCAGAGTGGGTGCTACAAGTTCTGGCTCCTCTGCTTCCTATGCAACTTTCCAGTAAAGCATCCTGCGAGGTAGAAGATGATGTGTCAAGTGCTTGGTTCCCTGACATCACTGTGGGAGATCCAGATGATGTTCCTAGTTCCTGACTTTGGTCTGGACAGGCCCTGGCTGTTGAAGACATTTGGGGAATGAGCCAGTGGATGGAAAATCAATCTCATTCTCTATCTTTCCTTCAAATGATGAAACTTTAAAATTAAATAAATCTATAGATAATAAAGCTAGCAATACAAATGCCAAAAATTCCCATTACTCTAGAGTTTAATGTATTCTGTACAGTTTTATTTAGAAAGTGTTAAAACAGTGTAAAAGAATCAGTATCTTGCTTATTAAGTCATTCCCTAATAGTAACTCAGACACTTTAGAAAGATGCTTTTGTCTTCAGGCTTCTTATCATCCTTACAATGCATTAATGTCTATAGTAGCCCAAATATGCCTGTCTTAGATATTTCAATATTTTGATATGTTATAATACAATTTAATATACCCATTTCTATCATCTCTCAATATATCTATCATCTACCTAAGCTTAATATAATTAAAAATGTATAAAATTTCCAACCTAGAAATTTAGTATTCAAGAAAATGTGGTTTCACTCCTTTTTTAAAAAAATATTTTATTTATTTATTTGAGAGGTAGAGTTACAGACAGTGAGAAGGAGAGACAGAGAGAAAGATCTTCCGTCTATTGGTTCACTCCCTAAATGGCCGCAATGGCCAGAGCTTCGCCAATCCGAAGCCAGGAGCCAGGTGCTTCTTTTAGGTCTCCCATGTGGGTGCAGGGGCCCAAGAACTTGGGTCATCTTCTGCTTTCCCAGTCCATAGCAGAGATTTGGATTGGAAGAGGAGCAGCCGGGACTAGAACCAGTGCTCATATGGGATGCTGGCGCTGCAGGCAGAAGATTAACCTACTGTGCCATGGCACTGCCCTCTCACTTTTTTTTTAACTTTTCAATGTTTTTACTTAAAATCTATTCAACATTCATGGCACACACAGCAACTATTTGCTCCCCTTCCTCACCTCTGTACCCTGTTCTCTAGTTACTCTGAATGGCATCAAAGAATGTGAATTTCTTTTGTGAAATGCTTGGCTAAACTGATTATTCTAAAAATAGACACGTTCATATGACTTGACAAAATAGTATTCAACTTTTACAGATACAAAGTCATTCTCAATCCTCAGTGATCTGAGGGAGATAGAGCTCTTTTGGGATTTGTAGAATACTTCAAAATAATAACAATTTTCAAAAAGTTGCTAGCTTAATCCTTTGAACAGTCCTGCTAATTAGCAGTGTCTACTTCAAGTTCTTCTGACTTTGATGTTTACGCCTTTATCATTCCTGGATATTGTATATATCCAGTCTAGAAAATTGAACAGTAATAAAAAAAATAGTGTTGCAGAAAGTATCATGCATTTGCTGAGAATCTAATGTTTTAATAATTTCCCTATTTTTTTTCAACCTGCTGCTTTAAAGCAATGGATTTTTTTAAAGCTTCAATTTATATTAAACGATTGTGTTTTATGGGCTGGTGCTGTGGTGCAGCAGGATAAGCTGCCTCCTTTAGCAGTAGCAGCCTATATGGGTGCTAATTTGAGTCACTCCGCTTCTGATCCAGCTCCCTGTTAGTGCACCCAAGAAAGGAGCAGAGAATGGCTCAAATGCTTGGGCCCCTGCACCCGTTGAGAATACCTTAAAGAAGCTCCTGGCTTCGTTCTGGCCCAGCTGTGGTGGATGCGGCCATTTGGGTAGTGAACTCTCTGTAACTCTGCCTTTCAAGTTAAATAAATAAATCTTTAAAAAATAATAGCATTTTAGAGGAGCCAGTGGTGGCATCACAGGTTAAGCTGTGGCTTGTGAGATGCCTACATTCCACATTAGAGTGCTAGTTCAAGTTCTGGCTGCTCCATTTCCAATCCTGCTCCTTAGTAATGAATCTGGGAAAGAGCAGATGATGCCTGCAGAGCTTTGTTCCCTGCCACCCGTACAGTAGACCAGGATGGAGTTTCTCGCTCTGGCTTTGGAATCACCCAGTCCTAACTCTTGTGAACATTTGGGGAGTTAACCAGTGAATGAAAGATTTGTCTGTCTGCCTGTCTCTCTCTGCTTTTACTGTGGATAAAAACAAATAAACCTACATTAAAAATGAATTATATGATGCTCAATACCGCAGTTACAATTTTCTTTTTCCTTTTTTTTTTTTTTTTTTACAATTACTTTTTTCTATAGATTGGGCATTGGGTGCACTGGATAAGAGGCCACTTGGGAAATTTGCATCCTCTGTGAGAGCCCCAGGATTTGAGTCGCAGCTCTGTTTTTCATTTCAACTTTCTGCTAATATGCACCAGGGGAGGGAGCAAGTGATGGCTCAGCTACCATCCATGAGGGAGACTGGATTAGTTCCATAATCTTGACTTTAGCTTGGCCCAGCCTAGACTATTGCCAGCATTTGGGGAGTGAACCAGCAGACAGAAAATCTCTTTCCCTCTCTGTCTCTCTGTCTTGAAAATAAGTAAAATTAAAACTAATTTTTTAAAAATTAATTTTATTTTAAATTGTGCTCCAGAAGTATATGACAAGTCAGTGTGTTGGTATTTCTCTTTGTCATAAAGCATTTTATTTTTATTCATATTTAAGATTCACATTGAGAATTTCCTATCATTTCATACCTAAGATATCCATCAGCCAAGTACATTTTACCAATGAAATTTCTGTTGAAAGAGGAAATCACTCCTGGTTCAATCTCTAATGCAACTGGTTTCCTTCCTAAGTTCATTAATGCTCTGGGGCTTTTATAGATGTCCTTGCATAGCTCCAGTGTAAGATTATTAGACCATAATTGGTCATTGAATGGCCAACTTCCAGAAGCACTGCTAACTGGACATTCACACCAGATAGTGAACAGTGGGGTTGACCCTTAAAGAACTGCCCTAAATCCTTCTTAACCCTTAATGCCTCAATTCACAGAACAATGGGCAGTATGGAGAATGTGGCAGATAAAACTGATTTTACAGCATTTTCTATAGCTGTAAATTCTATATTATCTTAGCTGTGTGTGCCTTTTTGTATTTTTTTCATACTTGTCTCCTTCAATGTGCCCTAGAAGTAATAACACATTGTGTTTCCTAAGGTCTCCCCTTCCCTTGGCCCACCAGGACTTAAGTTCTTTCAGAACGCCTTCATTTAGGGACACTTTGATACTAGTTTTATACAGCTGTTCAGTTATGTCACTGAAAATGGTTTTCATAGTTCCCTTGTTTTAAAATCCATGTAAATTGTAAGTCCATACTACACCAAGATGAAATCAGACCTAGGCAAATCATGGCTAACAAAAAAGAGAACTAAACTGGAATATGTGATATGACTACATTGATACATTTTCTAGTTCAAATGCTTGGGTGTACAGAAGTCTGACTGAGTTGAAGGAAGATGGTGATGATGAGTAGGAGCAGCAGAAATATGGGAGAGAAAGTGAAAAACATGCTTGTCATAATGAATGCACTAATTGCATTTGCCGATTATGATAGTTAAAATGGATTTACATACATGGTAATGAAGGAGACAATTGTTAAATTATCCTATTAAAAACAGCTTGAGTTTTTATTTAATCTAAAGGAATACTATCCCTCTACACTTACATTTTAGAGTAGTTCCTAATGTTTTTCCATGCATTTTCTTATTTAAGCATAAGGGAGCTAGAAAGGAGACGACTAGATGCTGTTTACTTAATACATATTTTCTTCTGATATGGAATATTATAATATTATCCAGATGAAATTGATTCTTTTTTTAAAAAAGATTTATTTGTTTAATTGAAAGGCAAGATTATAAGCAGAAAGGAAGAGAGAGACAAAGAGATCTTCCATCCAAAATGGAAGACATGGCCACAAAAAGCCTGGGCTAGACTGAAACCAGGATCCTGGAGCTCCCTCTGCATTTCACACTGGATAGCAGAGGACTTAGTACTCAGACCATCTTCTGCTGCTTTTCATCCTGTGAAATTGCATCTAGGAAAAATATATTATATGTTTTGAGTTTGAATCCCCATGATTGAATAAGGAAAAGAGAATGATGAGAAGAAATCAGTAGGTTTTATTTTTATTATTAATATTTTTCTTCTACATTTTCACATACTCTGTTTGAATATGTGTTATTGACAAAATATTAAAACATACTCACAACATGAGGGAATTTGAGTCCAAAAATGAAAGTATTTTTAATGGGATGTGTGCTAGTTAGAGTGTGAATATGTGTATATATTGTGTTTGCGTATATTTGAGATAGCCAGATAGGTAGACATACATACAGACAGACAGACAGAAACTTCCATCCACTGGTTCATTCCTCCAGTACTCACAGTGGATAAGATGAGGTCAGGCCAAGTCCAGGAGCCAGGAACTTGCTGCATGTATCTCATATGAATGGCAAGAGTTGTCACCCCTGATTCTCAGGGTCTGCATTAGCAGGATGCTGCAGTCCAGTGCCAAAGCTAGACGTTGAACCCATATTCTCTGATCTGGCAAGAGGCATCTGAACCAGCAAAGTAACTGCTGGGG